TTTTCATTTCGCATTGCGATTTTCATTTCCGCATTGCGATTTTCATGTTGGGATTTTCATTTCGCATTGCGATTCTCTCGTTGCGATTGTAATTTCCGTGTTGCGATAGTCAAATGCATGCCTAATAAGTGATAACAACTGAATAACAAGAGTTGGTTAAGTCAAAATGGTTGGCCTGAGTCATTAATTCAACTGAAAATGTTAAAAGTTCACACATAAAATCCACATAATACAACGTTTGCATTTAAAAATCACCTAAGTTAACAGTCCCAAAAGGTGAAGCCAATTGTGATTGGGATTTTAAAGATGATTGCCTTTTGCTTGACACCATATGAGCTTTGGATTTTGATGAGGATCCATATTTTGGTAGAGGAAAAGATGATTTTGATGGCACTGGTGATCCACATGTCAACCTTGTATGACCACTTTCCTTGCACCGACTACATGTCGATCTCTTCTTCTCTTCACCCTTAGACGGTATACGATCGTGACTTTTTGGTCGGCTAGGTAGCCTTCTGTCCATGGCTGGTGGCAAAACTGTTTGTAAGTCATCTGGTATGTCCCACTCAGAAGGATGTGGAATAGGGTAGACAATCTCGCATAAGTCTGTCGATAAACTTCTGTAGTGTAGCAATCCATAGCGTATGCGCTTGAATCATCTTGGTTTAAATGAAGAGCAACTTTTATAACATGGCCACACAGATAACCAGATGTTTGCCATTTCATACAACTACACGTCTTTGCATTTAGATCGACTAGCCCATTTAAGTTATTATCCAGTACTTGAAACAAAGTGTTTGAACATGGTTCAACTCTCCATGACGTTGACTTCACAACACGTTTCGTTATCTTTTTTTCAGTCCATGGTGTAACACGATGTTCCAATGTTCCTGTAAATTTAAATAAACAATACTTAGTAAAATATAAATATGATAAGTTACGAATTCAAAGAAATAATACCTGCATGGTTTCTTTTCTTGTAGTACCACTGTTGAATAGAGGCTCGAAAAAACTCCATTAACATAGTAATGGGTAATTTCCGGGAATGACGACTTAGAGCATTGATTGATTCTGCACTATTAGACGTCATGAAACCATATCTTGCTCCAAGTTGATGTACTCTTGACCATCTTTCAAACCGACATCTTCTAGTGTTTGAGCACACTGAGGTAAAACACGTCTTAAACAATTTATATGCTTATTGAAATCCACTTCCCGATAAGCTTTATAGCCTTCCAGTATGTCCATTTGTGCTTTTTATACCATCAGACCTTGATTTTAGATTTCTATACAAATGAACACCACAAAGTCCATGAAAAGCATCTGGGAAACACCTTCTAACAGCGTTGTCAATTGAGTTTGCCCTATCGGATATGATTGTCAGATTGCTAATAGGACCTATGCAATCCCTAAGATGCCCCATAAACCATGTCCATGAATCAGAGGTTTCAGATTTGCCAACCCCGTAAGCTATTGGCAATATCCCATTGTTAGCATCCATGGCTACTGCTAATAAGTTTACTCCAAGGTATCGACCTTTCAAATGTGCTCCGTCAACTATAATAACTGGGCGCATGCAAGTAATAAACGAACGAATCTACAAAATAATATACACAAGAAATATAATCATTTAAATGTGAAATGCATGTAACTAACAAAAATGAGTCAACAAAATTATATTGATTTACTAACCGTAGCACCAATGGCGATAAACAGCAACTCAAAGTGTCCATCTCTATCTGTTTTGATATGAGTTACCGACCCAGGATTTTTCAGCTTTAAATTGTGACAATAAGCCGGCAGTTGGGCAAACGATGCTTCTGGCGACCCCCTCAACAATTCCAAGGCATAACATTTGGCTCTCCAAGCTTGAGAATATGATATACTAATCTTGAACCGAGCATTCATGTCAGTCATAATTTCATGTCCCCGATATACCCTGCCATTCAAAAACATTAACTCAGCCAGAAAACCACCCAACACCTTTTTGTTTGCCTGTCTTTGGTGAGGAAAAACTTGGGTTCTTGAACATGTATGTTTATCAATAAAAGTCCTAACTTGAAACATTTCGCAATCTTTTATTCTCTTTGCAATCATACGCCACGTACAGTTTTTGTCAATCATACACCTTGTTTCGAAACGATCTTTGCTTGATTTGTTAACTTTTAGTTGATAGCCATCTTCCACACATTTCGTATACAAAGCTATCTTCAAGTCTTCCTTTGTATCAAAATAATCATCTTTCTTGATACGAATAACTTTTGTGTAACAATCAACTGCTTTCTTTACCAACTCTTCTTCCGGTATCTGAAGTAATTCTGGCATATTCCAGTTATACGCCAGTGGCATTTTCTTTTCTTCGGGGACTTTTTCTTCTTCTTTTTCTTCTTCAGGATTATATGAATTACAGAATGGATGTTCAACATGTTCATTCACAGTCGTCACTTCCTCCTCATTATCATCAACAATACATTCTTCGGCAACGGCTGTTTCATCATCAAAATTCGGGTATTGACCAATATCAAAATCATTACACGCAGGGTCTGTTTCTTCTTCTGAAACATCATCAAAATCCGTGTATTGACCAATATCAAAGTCCGGATATTGACCAAGACCAAATTTCGAATACTGACTAGTACTCACAATTTTTTATGTTGGCTCATCATCGTCTAACTGGTCAATACGAAAACCGGAATTTGGTGCTGAAAGTTGATTGGGATTTGGATTAGAGAAAGGTTGTGGGTTTTGAGAAAAACTTAGTTGATTACTACCCGCTATTGACCCAACAATACTACTTCTAGGTTCAACAACATACAATGTAACATCATCTTATGAAACACTAATGTAAGCAATGAATCGTTCAACATCTTCATTGTCGGTTAACAAATAAACTTTACCATTTCTCTGATAAGATAGCCTAAATCCACTTAGGGGCTCTAAATTCAATTTATTTGAAACACGTAGCATTAGAGTTTCATAAGTTAACTTTTGTAAAGACAATTTTAGTTGAAGATTCATGGGTAAAGGCATATATTGTAAAACACCATGAACATTATCCCATGACCCTCCAAAACACAAATCTATCCAAACATGATCAACATTAGATGATTTCATGGTTGTAAATTAATTTACTAAACAGACGAGCTGCGAAACTAAAACCTGTTGCCGGATTGGGAAGGATGTCGTTGGATATAGGAACGGATGTCGCCGGAGAGAGTGATAGATGGAGATGGAATGAGTTGCGATTTAGGGATTTAGTTTATGATTTGCTGCTGTTGCGTAGTTATATACCCAAAATTTCAGTGTTGTGAATTACAGATTCTCGTTGCGATTTACGGATTATCGTTGCGATTTACAGATTCTCGTTGCGATTTACGGATTATCGTTGCGATTTACGGATACGCGTTGCGATTTACGGATACGCATTGCGATTTACGGATACGCGTTGCTATTTACGGATACACGTTGCGGTTTACGGATACGCGTTGCGATTTATGTGTTCGCGTTGCGATTTTCATATTCGCGTTGCGATTCTTGAAAATCGCAATGCGAATTTGTACTATCGCATTGCGATTTTCAAGAATCGCGTTGCGATTTTGGAAACTGATTTGCGATTCTGGGGATCGCGTTGCGATTTTTATTTCGCGTTACGATTTTGTTGGTCATTTTGGCAAATCCAAAAAAAGTTGGTTAAAATCGTATATTATAAGGCATTTTTGGTCACTGAGGCGATTTTCTCTTTTAAATATGCCTCAGGCTTTGATGCTTTTCCTCCAAATTTTAAGCAGATAAGCAACTTCGCTAGTATGTGGTTTATTCTCCTTTTCGTCTCCATTTTCGCTACCGGAATTCTTGAGCTTAGGTGGAGTGGTGTCAGTATTGAAGATTGGTGGAGAAATGAACAATTCTGGGTCATCAGCTCATCTTTTTGCTGTCTTCCAGGGTCTTCTGAAAGTGCTTGCTGGAATTGATACCAACTTTACTGTCACTTCAAAGGCATCTGATGAAGACAGCGAATTTGCAGAACTTTACGTTTTCAAATGGACATCCCTTCTCATCCCTCCAACCACAGTACTCATTGTGAACCTGGTGGGTATTGTGGCTGGTGTATCATATGCGATAAACAGCGGTTACCAATCATGGGGTCCTCTTTTTGACAAGCTTTTCTTTGCCATTTGGGTTATCGCCCATCTCTATTCTTTCTTGAAAGGTCTGGTGGGTGGGTCGTCAAAATCGTACACCAACAATCGTCATCGTGTGGTCCATTCTTCTTGCTTCCATCTTCTCCCTGCTGTGGGTGCGCACCGACCCCTTTACCTCCGATGCTACAGAAGCTGCTGCTAACGGTCAATGTGGCATCAACTGTTAGTTACATTTTCGGATCTTTCTGCGGTAAATGCTTCCTCTCCTTGAAGTTGGCTACCATGTATATAACAAAGGAAGATTAAGATGTTAGAGCCATATGCATGATATTAGTTATGACTGTATGTATGTATATGCATGTATGTATATGCATGTATGCATTCATGAAACTATATGCTGGATGACAGATGGAGACCTAAGACCAAGGACCCTGTATCTTAATTATGTTCACTACAAGGTGGTGCTGATGGTCTGAATATGTTTTGATGTTATTGTTGTCATGTTGTGTTTAGTGCTAAAAGTGTCATTTCATTTTTGTTAAGGAGAATGTAGAGATAATATTATTTTCAATGAGAAAAAAATACTGGATTTATACACCATCTATAAACAAAGAGGTAATTTATAATTATAAAAGATATGATATTTTTGTAATAAAAGTCTAAATAATTGATAAATTATTTAAATAAAAAAATCAAATTACCAATATGACCTCATAAATATATTCTTTATATATCTATTTTTTTCCTAGAGAGATAAAAAGGATATAAATCAGTGAAGGCCCAAAAAGCTCCAAGCAAATGAAACGGTGACGTTTAATGTGCAAAAAATAATACTAGTAGAATAGTGCAAGGAGAGTATCGGCGACTAGTGAGAGATCGTTTAATTCAAGGGTTTTGGAACCTCGCAGCTAAAAGCGCCCCACAAATTCCTCTATTTCGCCTTTGTTGGTGAGAGCAGAGCAAAGAAGAAGAAGAAGAATGGAGGGGATAACGGAGGGAGTGAACAACTTGAACATCACTGATTCATCAGCCTCCAACAACAAGAAGAACCGTATCCAAGTCTCCAATACCAAAAAACCCCTCTTCTTCTACGTTAATCTCGCCAAGGTTCCCTCCTCCTTTCCTTATAATTTCTGGGGTTTTCTCAAATAATTCTCTTCTTCATCTGTTTTCTTAGTTAAGCATTTTATTTTTGGCTCACTTTTTGGCAGAGGTACATGCAGCAATACGATGAGGTGGAACTCTCTGCTCTTGGAATGGGTATTATCTCTTTTCTCCTTTCACTTTTACCATGCTGCTTTACTTTCTCATAACTTTCCTTTTTTATTTTTCATTTCTGTATTTTTCCCCTATGGGTATTAAAATGACAATTTGCTTTTGATGATCTTGTGAATGTGATATGTTTATTGGATGTTATGTATTAGCTTTTGAGGGATGGAATTTGTCATATTCAAATTAATAGCTTTATTTTTGTCTGTGTATTTAAATGACAATTTGCCTCTAATGTTGATATCGGGATTTTAATTAGTTGTTATCTATTACCTTTTGATGATGGGATTTTTCATTTATATTGGTAGCTTCTACTTTGTGTTGCTAATGCATCGCAGGGGTACGCATTCTGTTTTAATTCTTGTTTATCTTTACGATTGCACTGTTAACCAAAAGAACAAGGTGAACTGTGAACATTTTTACAGAGACATGAGTTCATCTTTTGTGGCAGGCGATTTATGAATGTGTTTTCAATACAAACCGTTCCTAAGTTTTCCCTGCTTAGAAAATTGTAGTGCTTGACTTCTTTATTGATTGTCATTACCGCTTGCTTTTAAATGCTGTTCGCAGCCATTGCTACTGTTGTTACCATTGCTGAGATATTGAAGAACAACGGGCTTGCTGTCGAGAAGAGTGAGATTCTTACCCTTAACAATATTCCTGTTTGCTTCCGTCTCGTGTCGAGAATTAAAACTTACTATTGTGATATCTATGAAAAATTTACCAGAAATCATGACTTCTACTGTTGACATGAGAGAGGAATATGGGGGACGGCCAGTTCAAAAAGCAAAAGTAAGTTGCAAATACAATATAGATTAATTTTACTTTAAGTTACTTCATCATATGGCTCACATTAGACGAACCTCAATGCTTTCACAAACTGGAGTTTTGTTTGAGCCTAAGTGACTTAAAAGCATGATATCCATCGATTTATTGTCACATTTCCTCATTTCAGACCAACTGAATGGTGTAATGTTAAGATTAGGTGTTGGAATGTGTTGTTCAAGGCACCATTGGGAATCAGAATTGTAAAATCACTTGTAATCCACAATGAAACTCATTATATCTAGCAGTTTCATCAAATTAAAAGTTTTGGCCTTGATGATCGGAATATCTATTAATATGAATGCATATCATGTTGTTGATATCTGGACTTGTATAATAAGGTGCTTTCATCATTTAACCTGCTTTGTTTAGTCATTCGCATAGACAGTCGGATCTACGTTATTATTGTCATACGGGATGGGCTGTAGGGAGGAATTGGAGGAGTTTTGAAAGATTCCAATTGCTCTATTTTAGCCTCTTTCTCTATGGGTGTGGGACCAGGCCCTCCTATGTTAGCTGAGTTAAAAGCTATTAAGCAGGGAATTGATGTATTTCTTTCATCGGAGTGGGCAACGAAGGGAAGACTTATCCTCGAGAGTGATTGTAGGAAAGCAGTGGATTGGATCTTGATACCTATTTCTGCCCCAACGTTCTGTAGCTCTTTGGTTGAGGAAATTGGGGCCTATTTATCTGCTAGGGGTTTTATTATTAATTGGATTCCAAGGAGCTGTAATTGGGAAGCAGACAAGTTAGCAAAAGAGGGGATTGGTTGAGGTGTTGTGTTCTGTTGTTGTAGTGTTATGTATTTTATCTAGGGAAGTTTATTATGTAAGTTGTATCTTATGTAATTATGGGTCATTAATAAAATGAGGTACTCTTTTCCTCCTTCCGCTAGTTGCCTCTTTCACAAGAGGCAACTAAGAGGGAGATTTTTAATGAGACCTCCTATTTCTATAAAAAAAAAAATTGTCATACGGGCTTGGAGTTATGTGTACAGTAACGGACACCGGTTTAGGTTCGGTCCATTTGTAATCATAGCTCTTATGTTGATTGCCTGACTACATGTTTATTATTTTGTAGATTGAAATAGTGCTGGGGAAATCAGAGAAGTTCGATGAGTTGATGGCAGCCACCGCCGAGGATGATTATATAATGACGGGCAGAGCTGAGATATTACTCCCTTAATTTAAGCTTGTGTTACTTGATCTTGGACCGCTTTAACTGTTATTTTCTTGTTCGGTCGTACGGAATTGGAGCCTACTGTCTGATATGATTTGGAATTTTTGTAAAATACATTCCCTTTGTTTCAGATTTGTTGCTAATTAATTCCTTGCATACATGATCGAATATTCTCTTCGTATACACAAAGAAATGCAAAGACGTTTATTTTATGAATAGATAATGCCAGAAAGAAGCAAAGACTTGGAACATAATTGCTAAGACCGGTTGATCAGAGTGGGCATAGAGTCAGTTGACATTCATATATATATACGTATATAAGAAAGAAGAGTTTGCAGTATGAGAATTTGTATGCGTTGCAAGGTGTAGAATCCTGTAAATAAGTCTCCCATTCCTTTAAATGCATGCATTGCAAACTAATATACTTTCAACATCATTCTTTACCTTTCACTCGCAGGTGCTGACATCTGATCTGAGCCCTCAACAAACAAAATTCAGCAGGATAAATATAATACCGAATCCATTATCCTTCACCTGGAAATTCTACGCTTCTTCATCTTTGTCTACCAGTATCCTTTTGCAAGCTTCGTAGCACATGAAAGAAATTCCAGCAGCAGGTACCAATTTCATGCAACTAGGACCCAACCCCTTATATAGACCATGAATTCCTTCTTGTTCGAGAATGCTCGACAGTGCATGCAACACATTCTTGTAGACCTGTCTTCCATTGAGAGCCCCGACCTGCATGTTCTGCGAGCCTCCTCAAGTGGGAAGGTTGCGCTACTTGAAATAGCCCCTGCTAGTGATCCTATGAAAAGGGTTTCAATGTTGCCAATTTTCTCCTTTGAAACTCTACGATACACTTTCCGTAAAGTGTCGTACGCAAAATAATTCGTAGCGGCATACAGAATTACTCCTATGAGACTCGGAGCGAGGCCTCTATAAAGTTCTGCAGGGACCTTGTTTTGCAGTATTTTAAAGAAAGCTTAAGTATACCATCGTACATGTTTTTCTGCAAGATTAACAAATCTCGTATACAAGTGAAAACGGATTTTTACTTTCGGAAATTAGTTTTTAGATTGTTTTACCTCAATGGTTAATCGAGTCTTGACTACTCAATAGGATAAGTCAACAATGTTGAGCTGACTCCAGCACAAGCTCCTGCAACTAATGAAGCTGGAATCGGATTTTTGGTTCTTCCCCGGGTTTCGGTGATAACTGCTTATTCACGGTATCGAAAGCAAATAGCTGTAGGACATGGTGAATCAGTATTTAAGGTAAGAATTTATACTTTGGCTTCAACAAATAACCGTATGAAACTAACTGCAGAATGTCAATTAGCAACCAACTTAAAGCAAATAAGATATGCAAATAGACATCAAAAACCATAATCATCTGATTAACCAACATAGCAATATCCAGCACCATAAACCACAACAACAGCAAATAGCATTCATGAACTTATCGATACAAATTAGGGGAATTAATACCTCGATCGCCTTGCTCGGGGCGACTCGAATCACGTTAACAAGATTACCCCTAAACAAGCCTTTCCACCCATCAGTCTGCATAATATTACCGAACACTTCAGCAGTAGAACTCCCCTACTCCCCACCATCAAATGCGTCCTTATAGTCTCCAATGGCGCGACGCGAGTCCTCGATACCGCCCCGGCAACAGCACCGCTCATTAACCTCCTCAAGGAAGGGATTAGAAACCTTGATTTTCAGTTTTAATCCAACTTTCTTCTTCGTTTTCTTCGAAGCTGCTTCACCTTCCGGTACTCCAACGACCCGGATTTCATCTTGTGATGGTAAATTTTTCAGAAACAAATCGATGAAAGGCGCTTTGATTCCACCATCGTTAGGCTGATTCGGGGAGTTGGGTCCAAATCCTATTCCCATTTGACCAACGCTTGCAAACAAGCTGCCATAATGAAAATCATTCTGTTGGAGACTCCATTGAGACCCCAAATCACATATAGAGAAAATCCCACCTTTCCTATCATCAAACACCTGAACTCCTCTCTCGCTCATGACTGAAAAATAAGTGAAACTTTTATAAAAGAAAGGCCTTCTTCTATGATTTAAAAAACAGAGCGTGTTTGTGAAGCAAAGGTTCGGTTTTGAACAAATGGGTGCCTAAAAAACTCCATTTTTGAGACAAGGGTGCAATAAAAAAAAACAAAATTTTTAACAATCTAAATAGAAGAGACGAATGGAAAAACTAGAATCGTTAAAATGGAAGAAAGAACAGAGGAGAATAGGTGAATGAATCTGATTCTCTTACTCTCTAACAAGAGAATGCAATGCAACGAGCACCAAAACCCAAAAGCTATACAATATCATATTAATATCATATAAATATACTTGTAGGATTTTGGGTTTGGTTTGGTGGATTTACTGTACCGGGAGAAGGTGTCAGATTGTTGCTCTACTTTCAATCCATCAAGCAGAGTGGATACAAAAAAAGGATTTTATACGACTCGCAATAAACGATTATCCAGGTTATAAAATACAGACAAATACAGAGCCTTTGGGTTCACGAGAAGACAAGCCGGATTATCTGCCTTATATACACACATTGCACAATACTATCAATCTGTAAGATTGTACAGGTCAAAGTGAACAAAAAAAAGTGTTGATATGGTAAAGAACAAGTGGAGATTTTGATTTGAATATTAGTAAGTCCAAAAAGATGGTGGGGGAAAAGGATAGAAAAATAAACATTGATATTTAATTCTATAGACAGCCATCAACTACCAAGTCTGAATATCTTTATGTTGTTGAAAAATAATACGTCTTCTTCTTTTACTCCTTGAAATGTTTCCTGTGCATGCTCACGTTAACAACTCCTGCTCTTCGGATGTCGGTTAACAACGTGTTAAAATTCATCCTAATATAACATTTTAGATTGTGATGTAAGTGTATAACTTTTTAAATTAGTTATAATAATATTTTAAGTTAAAATTCACCGTGAATTAACTTTAAGCTAGATCGTCACACGACATAATTACCCTCTATTTTGATATGTTTTTCTTTCACCAAATATAATGTTTATTTGTATTTTTTATTTTAATTGTCCAACGTAATTATAAAGTAACATCTATTCATAATTTTTCTTAATCTACACCAATGAACAACTGTTACAATTTAGATCTTACTAATCTTTTAATAATATATTTTCTTCTATTACTCTACCGAAATATCCCCGAGTTAAGTGAGAATCATGTTCATTTCTACTCAAGCTCAAATGATTAGAAACAGAATCGGACATTCAGGTAATCCATTTATCTGCACATACTACAGCAGCAGAAAGTTCTGTCAACAACACTGGCTCGTCTAAAAGTGTTGATGCATAGTCATGGATTTATTCAAAGCCATACAACTCAAAACTAAAGGCAGCGATGGAGTTTCACTTCCATTGTTGTAAAATGTAAAACAACTCAACCATTTATGGGACTCGGAGTTCAACAACAAACTGAATTACTCGGTCAAAAAGGGGAAAAAAACTAATCCAATACAAAAACTGATTCCTTAAAGGGTGACAATTATCTGCCCGATAATTTCAGCATGTATTAGCCACATTCATTGGCAAAATCCTTTTTTTCAATGACAAGCCACTATTATCTCCGCAGAAATATACAGCTAGATAATCTGTTCTTCACATCTCCACTTTATGAAATAATACAAGTTGCTTGCCTAAAAAATGGGGGGATGTCATCAGTATGGGACTAGTATTGAAGTGTTGATGAGCAGAACTGCAGAAGTCATCACGGACATTGACGGTAAAAGTAGCATAAAAAATTAGAGTAGACTCTGACAGGCCTTGACCTCAGACGCTTGAGCTTCCAACAGAGCTTGTCCTGAAGGATTTGAGCTAACAATCCGGATTGCTGCATCAAATACAAATTTTTGGTACATGTTGTCTTCCATCTTCTTAAGGACTTCCTTCACTACATTAAAGTCTAATCCCCCAGCCAAAATAAGTTTCCCGGTTATTTCTCCGAAATTATTCGGTGCTTTTGGTAAATCAATTCCAATATCATCCAACAGGGCACCATAGAGTAGGCATCCAGTCCCTATGTCTCTAGCTGTAAGAACTTTCTTGATAAACAAGTATTCTATAAGTTTTGAAACTGGCTCAACACAAGGTGGAATTTTCTCCAAGGCAATGGAGATAGCTTCTTTCACAACCTCAGGATGGTGTGACGGAGATCCTAGTTCCTCCACACACTGCAAAGCTTCATCCAGAAGCCTAACAATGAAATATTCCTCCAACAAGGCCCGTGTTTTTCTACTAAGATCAGCTGGATTTAGTTTTGAAGCTGGTGTAAGTGGTTTCTCCGAAACTGGAGACACAACAGCCACAGGAACAGATTTGGCAGGAAGAGAAGGTTGTGCCACAGGCTCTGCACCCAAAATCGGGTTGGATGACCGAGCTGGAGTTGAACTTCCCTGCAACAGGGCACTTGTCTTACCACTCATTAGGCCACCACTACCTTGAGGCAACATCCTTGGATTGACTGAAGTGACTTATTGATTAATGATGAATGAACACGCCCTCCTCCAGTTTGTGTACCTGATCCATCACCCCTGGGCATTGATCTTGTTCTAGGAACCTCCCAGCTATCATTGTCCATTCCTGGCATCATTCGAGTTCCCGGCATTCCAGGCATCAAACCCCCAGTACCAGAACGAGTGATAGGAAACCCCCCAGGACCAGGACTCATTGGACCACCAGAAACAGGTCTATTTCTAATACTAGCAGTAGCACCTGGACGCAGGCCAAGGTTTTTTTCAGCGTCAGAATGGATTTCAGTAATTGTTTTGGCTTTCACCTGCAAATTTAGTACAACAAGATGTCAATATCAAAACCCATTTAAATCAATATGTCAACATCTTTCTAATCTAACACAAGAAATTGATGGCATTTAGGAGTGTTACCTCTTCACGCCTGGGAACCCAATTGTTAGCACGCAGATCAAGAACATCACGAACCATAAATTTCAGTCTTGAAGCAAGCTGGGATTTGTGACCAATTCCTTCAGCCTACTGAAGTAGACATCATTTATGCGCCGTGATTTTGGGCTCATCAAGTTGCTTACCAATAGTATTGAAGAACTGACAAATGGCTTCAACATTCTCCTCCACAGGGCAAGCTTTAGTATCATGGCCCAAAAGTTCCTGATGGAAAAAAAATACGATTCGGCATAACTTACTAAAAATCTGATTTGCATGGGTGAGAAATAAGTATTGGCAATAACCTGCACAATGTGATGAACTATCTTCTCAGGTACCATTTTCTGTTTCAGAAGCTCACCAATTAAACGAATGTTACCTAGAGTACGAAGCTTAACCAACCTTTCTTTATCTCTCCGCTCCATCTCTTGGTCAGGGGCAGTCTGCGACACCTCTTCCCTAAGCTTGTCAGCTCCCTCAATGCCTCCTGGCAGTTATTCAAGAGGACGCGCTTAAATGTGATGTCTTTTCCACCAGGTTCATCGGATGGGAACGAAGGGAGCTTATCATTAAGATCAGAACATAAAAGAGCATACATATGGCAAAATGTGGGTTCCAAAACAGCCTTCTCAATATTAGATTGATAACATCCTGTAAAGAGGTCAAAGATATCCCATTAGTAATGTGTATAAAAGCATGTACATTTATACAAACAGACCTAGAAAATGTACAAAAGGCATGTAGCGATGCCAAAAAGAATAATGGAAATGCGGAAAGTACTACAACTAACCTTCAAGATCAGCTGATGTAATACCAGAATCAAGAAGTTGACCCTTCAAAATATCATACTTCTCAGGGTCAGCTTGTTTAGTATCCTGCACAGAGAAAATAACCATTCAGAATAACCATAGCCATACTCGTGCAATCTTGACAACAATGCACTTAGCAGTACCTAAAATGGAAGCCATCATGTATTCATAAGCTTCCAAAATTAAAAGCCTTAATACTGACCATACTAAATAAACCCTATATTCTCTGTGAATTTAAGAACTGACCATGATATTCCTATCTTGGGAAGTTCACAGAAGCGCCGTTGATTCAATAATTAGAAACAAAAGATAGTGTTCTGACATAGATTTACAATAAAGGTTATCGCATACATCATGCTTATGAATAAGATAAATAAAAGGCCTTTTTTATGGTAGGTTGATAGAAATAGAAGAGGATATATAATGCATGAACCTGTTTTTATGATTTCTCAGCAGAAAGTGGACATATATGAGAAAGAACATATTTTGAATATGATTACCCTTTTACAGTCTTAGAACACGGTCCTTATCGGAAAGATTCCCCCTTCTAGCAGACCATGGCACCTCAGCCTTGACCAAAGAAGGAGTTTGTCCCCCCTAGTTCAACACACAAAACCAAATGTTTGCCAAAGACAAATGACAGGCATATCTTGCATGCAGTACAGATAAACTTGCTACTTATAGGAATAAGTAAAAAGCTAATATGAAGTGTTCGTTGATTTTATCATTATGGGAAAAAACTGGAATTTGTGTGAGGAACAAACAACTGATGCGTTGTAACTGGTGCGGAATAATTCAAGGGAACAGAATCAAATGAGTTAATAAATGAAAAAATAATCCTAAATGTAAGGTTACTAATGGTGTTGAACCATCTCATGATTACAAATAAAACAAAATAAAGAAATTAAGAGAAATAATTACTGATGCAACTTCTTGACCAATTGGTCCCAAAATGATATAAATACTGGGGGGTTTAAGACGTTAAGTGGATCTGCTGATTCAAGGACTACTCCTAATATAATTCAACATAATTGTTTTGAATACCTGCATCACCGCTTAAGAACTTAAAATTCTGGCAAAAGCCAATAAAAAAAGTAAACAATAACACACCAGAAATCTTATATAGAAAAAAAAAGAGTTCATATTGTGTTACGTCAATTACCATTTGGTTGGAAAAGATTTGTGCCCTCGAGAACTGAGAGTTGAGTTGATCTTGACGATTAATTGACTAGCTTCTAGATGTCTGGAGTCATTTCCCATTCTCTATCACGAGGAGACTCCCAGGACTTCTCCCCTCCATAAGGAGGTGCTGAACGGTTACGCAGTCACGATTGTCAGGCTCAGAGTAACAGTTGTGACCCTGATTTTGTTTTGGTGGCTGGAAACAGTAAAGGATGAAGAAGAGCTTAACAAAAAATGATTGCTTGATAGAAATATTAAAAAAATTAAGGTATTTCATCTAGGTAATTAGCTGCTAGCAAAATAAATCAATTGAACAGTAAAAAGCAAAACCACTTAGAGCTCACATTGCTTTCTCCACGACTCCAGTTCTGCTCTTCACCAAAGAGTTCCACCTCATTTCGTTTGATGTTAATCTCATCGGCAACTTCTACTACCTAAAAAAAAGGCAAGCAGCACAACCAGATATTATATCATACGGTAGTCAAAGTGCGATTGAATTCATAATTGAAAAGATTATCAACAACATTGACAAACTTATTTGCTCAATCAACTTAATATAAGTGAAACAGATACTGAAAACGTTGAATACTCCTTAGATGCAACAAATACCATAATTGTTATTTTCTAGTTGATTTGAGGAAGTAAATGCTACAAATAGTTCTCTGATGCACAGATGAAGCACATTATTATGCACGATTCATAAAATTACCTCCCTAAGCTGAGAAGCTGGTCCCTAGTGAATCGCACTCGTTCATGACCCTCATATCGTGAGTCCATCCTACAACAGTAAAGCAATTGATAACTTCAGATTTTGGAAACCAATATGTTTTATTTGTTCTTCCAAACCAATATATCACAATATGTTCAATATAACCATTAAAAGACAGCTAAGAGGATTACACACAATTAGAAAAACTTCATTGACTCTTGATCATGGAACACCTCTATCTCTATCATATGATTCTAAATGTTTTAGGTCCTCTATGGCAATCAATAGGTCACAGACTTAGGCCCCTGTTTACAGCTACAGCGTGCCCAAACAAGAATTAGAACTAATACATTTGCACACTTTCAAAGGCCTAATAATATGCATCTAAATATTCTTTCGTTGTAAATGCAAAAGACAATAGGGGAAATACAAATTTGCTACCAAGATTTCAATGGAAAACAATAGTCTTTCAGACGAAAAAATCAATGTTTTTATCTCAAAGAATATCAATAATAACAATGATAAAATCAAATCTCCTAGCTAAGATCCAATATTGCAAGGAGCGTTGCCTCACAGATACGACATTAACAATTTAAAAGAAAACCCATTTAAATCCAATAGCAAAAATCTAAAAAGAACACATTAGAAGGCTAGATCCAGGAAAAACTGAGATATGGGTTTTGAAAATAAATGGATAAAAAGATAGAACCTTAATAGAAGCACCGTCATGGGACGAAAGAGAGGAATCGGAAGAAAGAGAACCAAAGCTAACAGAGAAGAGGAAGACGATAAAGAAGGGCCACCAAAAAGCCTGCCCCCTCGACCACCACCTGGTCTTAAGCTCAACACCGTCTGATCACCTTGCTGCATACCTCTTTGACGTGAAATTCAATCTCCGACGTCCGATCAAAAACAAGAAAACCCAAAAAGAAAATAAGAAAATAAAACTCTGAATCTGAATATGAATATAAAGATATTGAAAAAGACAAGTTTTGGAATTAGAGAAATGAAATGAAATAAATTATATTCCCTCTCTTCTGAGAGAGAGCAAGGGAAAAGAGACATGTACGTGAGGACGGCAGACACCAAAAACAAACCCTTATTTTGGAGAGTGTGTTCGTTTTCCATTTTCTATGAGTTTTGAAAAAGTTTAATTCTATAACTAGTCCTTTTACTTGTAGGAAATTTAAAATTTAAATCCTATACTTTTAATTCTGATTTTACCTCTCCATTGGTCCACCTTAAATATTAAAACCCAGTTAATAACGTTGTTAATGAACTTCGTTATATTTCAATATTTACAGAATGATCTAAAAAATAATTTTTTAATAAAAATAAATTGACATAGATTGATTTGTTTCTATTGCTTCAAAGAGGGACCAATTTGTCTAACGTTAAACATGTCACGATTAGTTATTGTATTTTCTTGTTTTTCTTTTAGTTTTTCATTCATTTTTTTAACTGGGAATGTTCTTATTATGTTTTTTAGTTTTTTTTTTTTTGCTTGTGTGTAATAAATATTTCAAATTTGTACAAATGTGAATCCATTTTGAGAAAGTTATGTTTCAATCATTTATATTTCAATTATTATTTTTTATTATTGAACCGTTAACTCCCGTTAGTTTGATCGATGATTATATTTTAATCAATAAACCGTTAGCTCATATTAAACTAACACGTTCAAAGAAAGGTTAAATTTAAATTTAACCCTTACCTATTGCTAAACACTAGTTAGGCCACTATTGTTTGAATTTTAATTGACAAGGTTCAAATAATTTAATCATATTTGTGTTTAGTGATCGAATTTGTTAGAACTCTCACAATTACCACTTGTGTTTTGTGGTTGAAGAGAGATTTCAATTCTTACAACTATTTGTTTTCTAGATCAATTTGATAGCGATCGATATTTAAATTTTACATTCATGAAAATTACAATCATGTATTGTGAATACAACGATCAGATTATCAAATATAATTGTACAAAGAATTATATTTATGTACATGTAAGTGAATTCTTCTACTACATAATGTATACATGCATATAATATTCCCTGAAACATACTCAACTTACATCATATAAAAGTTGACAATGCTTCTAAGCTTTGCCTCTACATTGAATTTCAAATCCTTCTTTCCTTTGAATTTTCATTTTACACGTGAAAAAAAAATTACAGGAAGAAAGCACAGCGAGTAGCTCCATCTATTGAAGTGGAAAAAGGAAATTACTGAAAAGAAATTAACAGGGAGATTTACACAGGAAGAGCAGGTTTTGTAATTTAATCTCACTTACATGATAATATCGGCATATTGTTAGCGTAGCAGCCGGTCAGGGAGATGGAAATGTTTTGGCTGCCATGGTTGGCTGCTTACTCTTCTTCGAAGGTTGTTTTGTTTGCGTGAGATGAGCCATAAGGCTGCATTCTTCCAACTGTTCAATGACAAAGATTGTCAAAGATAGATAACAGAAAAGACAGTAAAATATCTGAAAACAGAAACAAAACTTTGCACTTGCACTACCCATTGATAAGGATGGCACGGGTCGGGTTGGTCACTTTTATACCGATTGAATCGAAAAAGGACTAGGGCATGATTGAAGAAATGATGGTAGCATTTACAGACAGCATTCATCGGATTGAATCACTTCAAAATGTATTTCAGGTTAATGGATGATACTCACTTGCATAGCTGCTGTTGAAGACAACAGCGCTTCGCATTGGTCGAGCATGTTTTTCTCTGTGCACCAATTGCAGCAAGCTCAGAAATCCTATAGTTTACCTCTTCCACCATATCATATAAAATATTGAGATTGGTCGAGCATCTGGAATTCAATTCAAATATAAAAACATTTCAGCAATAGAACTGCAAACTAATACTATCAGGATCCGAGTTTTCACACATAGACCATCAGTGAATCAAACCCAAGTTTAAATGTGAAATTTGAGTCATTACCAGGCATATGCTATAAATATTCAGATATATATATCATCCAGGATGACATTGAGAGAGTCTCAACACCTGTAAAACAAACAGAAATAAACCTTTTCTACCTGTACCAAAAATTTTTCGACGGAAATATAGTAGTAGTAACCATCCTAAATTTCATTATCAAATGATAGAAAACATCAAGTCATTATAGGATTAAGAAAAAGGAACAAGAAGCGAGATTCAGAGTCACTGTGACATGGTAGATAATGAATCACAAATTATAGTGGGATGTAAAGACTAAGGTGGTGTTTGTTTTTGAAGAGGTAAAATGTCTGCAGTCTGCGGACCACATCTGCAGGCATCTGCAGCAGAAGAGGTGACCAAAAGTTGCAGTCTGCAAGAGAAAGACTGTTTGTTTTTTAACGTCTGCAAACTGCTAAAATAAATAAATAAACTGATTTTTAAACTTAAAAAGTTTTGTAATACTGATATTTAAATAATTTTAGTTTTACAATACTAAATTTAAATAATTTATACAACTACAATAATAATTTTTTTAAAAAAACAAACACTACCTTATTAATTCTATTATACGTCGCACATAATCACATGTATTATTAGTTTTATAAGTTTTATAGAATAAAATTTATAAATGATCATTAAATTATATGATTTTTTTAAATATGTAATTTTGTAATACTTTTAATTTTTTAATATATATTCATAATTTTTTTTTATAATTATATATTTTTAGAAAATATTTTTTAATTTATCAAATTATTTTATGATTATTTTTATTTAATTGTGATTATATTTTAAAATTTTAAAACATAATTTATAATTTTTTATATTTTAAAATCTTAATTATCAAACAATGAAATCATTTTTTATTAAGCAATGTGGTTTAAATACTTACATTTTGTATAAAAAGTTTAAATATAATTTAAAAATAACAAATCTAAAAAATATTATATTTAAACTTAAATCAAAATAATTAAAATAAATATAAAATTTTAATATATAAAATATTTATATGATATAAATTAAATATCTATAATAATATTAAAAAATTAATATTTATTTATTTAAAAAATTAATATTAAAATTAATATCTATAATATAATATTAAAATATTAATATTTAATTATTTAAAAAATTAATATTAAAATTAAAATAAATATAATATAAAATTAAATAAAACCTCTTTGAAGAGGTTAGAAGACGTCTGAAGACATAAGACCACGTCTGCGCCGCGCAGACCACGCGCAGACGTTAGAAGGGCTTCTGTCTTCTAAAAAACAAACGGTCTGCGAAGCCCAATGTCTGCGCGTGGTCTGCGCGACGCAGACATAAGAGCTTTGCAGACCTTACACAGTAAAAACAAACACCACCTAACATTTTGATATTTCTTCTAACCACTAACGATGTGAGCATTTATGTCAAAATAAAAGCAAAATGGTGGCTTGTTAAAATAAATACCTTTGGGAGTAAAGAACAAATGGAGGATCCCATGGCCTGCATCACGTCAACAGCAGAGCAAATAGCAGCTTTCAATGATTCGATATCAGCCTGATGAGTACAAAATCCAGTAAGAGTGTCAAGATCTGTCTTTTCAGACATCCCATAGTATCTTTTTAAACTAACTTACCTTTGCCCCACCAGTTATGGGAATACGGAGGGTGCTTGCCTCCAGATCTTCTTCTGCTCCAGCTAAGGAACTTAAATGATCTCTCTCAAGTAATGCCCAATCATTGAGGTATGCCATCTGCATGAATCGTTTAATAAACATGTAATTAGATAATGGAAATTCTATGGGCTGAAAAAAGAAGGCTACAAATGGTATTCAAAAGCATGACTGAAAGTTGAATATAATTTTGGGTAAACAGGCATATGTCTGATTGTCAAAGGCACCCGATGCAGACTTGTCACCTGGTGTTCTTTTATACCCTCCATGATTACGCAACAGAGTCAGTGGCGATAATTTCTAATTTAGGCTACAGTACTGGAGCTTTGTGAATAATCATCGTAAATCTGGGGATGTGGAATACTTGAATATAATGAAGATCCTAGCACCAACCCAGGTGGGAAACAGGGAAAGTTCAAACATGATTTGAGCCAATCAAACTGGAATTATTTGTCAGGACTCAGGAGTAAACAACATGTCTTTCTTCTGATATGACCAATTATGAAGAGGATCCAAATGTATTAAACCCTCTAAGTCCTAAAATGCTGAAGCTTGGGGCAAAGCATGCAGCAGAATGAACCTAGTCATGGCTTTTCACATAACTGTTAGATTTGACCTTCTTCATTCGGTTAGAAGGTTAGCACAACTAGAAGATTATTAATTACAATCCCACATGACCTCTAAATTCACTTATTAAGCATCTCATAAAATTTAGGAAGCATGGGGGCTCATATCAATGCTTTCAAAATAAAGTAGCCCCCCTACTGATCAAGATATGTTTCCAAAAGCAGTGTGAGCGGATACATATTCTATTGATAATAAATTCAGATCTACAGTGGTCCAAGTCATAGCTTAGTGTTTCACCTTTCCCCTAAAAGGAAGATTAAAGTTTGAATCCCCTTCCCAAAAATAGAACAATTTAGACCTATGGTTGAAAGAAGTTTAAGTACGCATCAATACCTCCCCATAGCTTCACCTGGAGTTTTAGAATTAAAGATGTTCATAAACTATTATTACAATGTCAAAATATAACGGTGATTCTAGAATCAAGAATGTAGAGTAAAAGCTTCCTATAGATGAAAAATATTGTAGAGAGAGGCATTACTTGATGATTCAAAACAGAGTTCAGCTTGAGCTCTAACTTCAACCGTTGGAGATTGATCTTTTTCTTGATCAAAGCGTTGCAGAGACCCAAAGTATCATTCCAAACATTGCAAAAGTTTCCTGCTATAACAGATCATAACTTTATTTGATAATATATTTAACATGTTTTGTTAAGAGGAAATTCACAATATGTCATATATCTAAAGCTCTTGGTCGGCCCATCATATGCATATGACACTGTAATGAAGTTCTTTATAGTAGAAAAGATAGTTGTGGACCATGATGCAATAAGCTAACAACCCAGTTTTTTTTTTTTAATTCAATAATTAAAGAAATGCATCACAGAAATAAAACTTTCCCACTCAAATCATTGAAGGTTATCTCCACGAAATACGTGGATAACATTTGCTGACACATAGTTGTTCCCTAAGAGACGAAATTTACCTCTGCATTTACTCTCTGAATATCGAATACAGCTTCTGCATGGGCATTAGCAAAACGCCACTGCAAATAGCGATTATAAAGAAGACGCAGTTGATGAGCATCCTCTATTGAGCTGACACCTTTTCTTCCCTTCTTACAATCTGTGACAAAACTGAGAACTGAAGTTGAGCCATGGGATTGACTCGATGAGGTGGATATCCTCATCCGAGTAGGACTGACTACCCTTGGAGTTGAACTGAGAACTGAAGTTGAGCTATGGAATTGACTCGAAGAGGTGGATGTTCTCATCCGAGTAGGACTGCCTACCCTTGGAGTCGGACTGACACCTCTTGGAGTAGAACCAAGAACTGAAGATGAGCTATGGGATCGACTATGGGTTCTTCTTGATGAGGTGGATGTCCTCGTCCGAGTTGGACTAAGTACTCTTGGAGTTGAACTGACAACTGAAGTTGAACTATGAGATTGACTTGATGAGGTGGATGTCCTCACTCGAATTGGACTAACTACTCTCGGAGTTGAACTGAGAACTGAAGTTGAGACATGGAATTGACAAGATGAGGTGGATGTTGAGCTATGGGACTGGCTGGATGAGGCGGATGTTGAGCAATGGGATTGACTGGATGAGGCGGATGTTGAGCAATGGGATTGACTGGATGAGGTGGTTGTCCTCATCTGAGGTGGACTAACTAGCCTTGTAGTTGAACTAAGAACTGAAGTTGAGCTATGGGATTGACTTTCTGAGGTGGATGCCTTCATTCGAGTGGGACTGACTACTATTGGAGTTGAACTGAGAATTGAAGTTAAGCTATGAAATTGATTGGATGAGGTGGATGTTGAGCTATGGGATTGATTGGATGAGGTGGATGTCCTAATCCGAGTTGGACTGACTATCCTTGGAGTTGAACTGAGAACTGATGTTGAGCTATGAGATAGACTTGATGTGGTGGATGTCCCTATCGTAGTTGGACTGACTACTCTTGGAGTTGGACTGAGAGCTGGAGTTGAGCTATGAGATTGACTCGATGAGGTGGATATCCTCATCCGAGCTGGACTGACTACCCTTGGAGTTGGACTGACTCCCCTTGCAGTTGGAGTTGGACCGACTCCCCTTGAAGTACTACTGGCTCCTCTTGCAGTTGGAGTTGGACTGACTCCCCTTGAAGTATGACTAGATCCTCTCGCAGTTGGAGTTGGACTGACTCCCCTTGAAGTATGACTGGCTCCTCTTGCAGTTGGAGTGGAAGTTCTTACCCGATGTGGACTGACTCCCCTAGAAACATAGGTCTTTCGTGGTGATTGAGATTGTGATCCTGAAGTTGTTAACGTCGTTTTGTCCAATGAACTAGCAGAAAGGATGCTGGCAGGAAAAGATGCCCGCCAAGGCTTATCATCAATTGAAGTTGCCTCAAACCCTACCCGACCAATGTCATCAAGTGATAACAGCCTTCCAGCATCATTAGAAGATTTCAGCAGAGGTTTACCTGAACTATCAGACACTGGCATTCTCTTCAGTGAAGATACTAATTCTAGATTTGGTGTGGATAAATTTTTTACAATTTTACCCCCCTGGTCCACACTTTTGTTCAGAGAATTGGAAGATAATTTGCCACCAATTCTACTAGGCCATCGATGATGATCTATCAATCGGCTAGGCAAACCATCAACAGGTTTTGCATTTTCAGACTGATCAGGTGCATTTTTCGCTTCAATAAGACTTCTCTTTCTCTCTGGACTAGGCTTCCTTGATAAGGTAGAGGTCTCTGATTGTTGTATATGAGCCACATTTGAAGAAGGTCTCAAAGTGCGATCCAAGGAAACATTACTAACTGGCTTTTCTTTTTCCTTTTTACTAACAGGAGAAAGAGTATCAGACTGAAATGGAACACTAACACTTCTCATGGTAGAAGGCCATAAACTATCAGGTATACGGCCAGTTGATAGCCTTCGAGATGATATTGGCACAGCTGTTGATGAATCATGAGCTGGAGTAGAGGTTATTTGAAGTGGAGGTGATGTTGAGGGGCGCTTCCTCTCTGCAGACACAGCTCTCTTTTGCACCCCTGGGGAAAGGGTAGTGGTTGTTCTAGTTGGAGTTGGAGATGGACAACGCCTAGGACCAGAAGGTGTTGATCGAGTGGGTGATTTATGCCTCGAACTAACTTCCCTAGTTCGAGAATGTCCGGTAGTGGGTAGCCCATTGTTCTTTTCAGCAGAAACAAGGGGTGGTCTTATGGAATCTGCATCAGCAAGCTTGTGTAATCGTTGCTCTGGTTTGCATACATCCATCCAAACACTCCAAACAAAACCACATTGATGGGATTTTCCAAACAAAAAAACAAACCTACACTTAACAGCCCGACTTTTATATGAATCCCACATGTATATAGAATAACACCAGCTGTTCAAAAGGAAGATACTTTTCCCTGCAAAAAATCTGCCACAAATACACAGACCAAAAGTTAGATGCTTACTTGCATAATGGCAGAAAGGAATAATTATAAACACCATAGGGGGTTAAAAAAAGGCTAAAGAATATAAATCTTTACAAATTCTCATATCTTACTGATGAATAATTAGAGAATTGCAAGAAATTAACTGAGATGAGCATGGTTATTCATCAAGAAAAGCCCAAATTCAAGCAGATCAAATCAAACAACAACAATGAGGCTAACAGCATCAGGTACAACGGGGGATCCTAAAAACTCCCTGTACAGGTCTATCCAACCTGTACATCATAATGCAACAAGTACTAAGGGGTCCCCCATGGAACTGAGAAACTATACTGTGAAGTCCGTACTGGTTATTGTTCCTGGTGGTGGTGAAGATGTAGGATAAGAAGACAGCTATAATAAAGGTGTGTAGGATAAGTGAGAGAGAGAGAGAGAGAGAGAGAGAGAGAGAGAGAGAGAGAGAGAGTTTTCTCTGTTGTGCTTCTCACGGGAATGCCATGGTCGGCAGGGAAGGGGAGAAAAGAAAAAAATTTCACTGGCAAAAACAAATACACAACTCAACTCTGGCTTCTTCCCTTCCTTCAACGCCTTCTCTTTTGCTTTGTATTAAAGGAATTAGAAAATGATCCCAAAAAAGAAAACGCAGCTAAAATTTTTAGAAAAAGAAAAATACTTTCTTTCCATTCAATTACATGGAAGTTTCACTTTGGATCACATGCTTAGCATATAAAAAAACTTAAAATACAATTAAATCATAATTATGTAAGTTTGTCAGTTTTTATATTTGTTTAATGCATCTAAAATAACTGTAAAGAAAAACACGATTTTTTTTTTTGAAGTTTTCAAGTGCTAATTTCGTTGAAAACATGGGAAGGGACATGAAGGATAAAACATAATAGAAATTCTGAATTGACCTTTTTCTTTAATTAAACAATTTTTGAATTGACCATTTTTCCCAGATTAAATAGAAGGAAACCAGAGTAACGAGGTAAAGCATTTGAATTTTGATTAAAATTGCAATAATTAAGATGGAGTTATTTTTTTCAATGAAAACTTGCAAAGAATTCAGATCATAACAGTGAATGCATCAGAGACAGATTTATGTCGCTAAAACTGAAAAAAAAAATACAATGATTAAAATAACAAAACTTCATGTAAATATCTCTGCGAGAAAGTTGCAGAGATTGTTCAGTGAATCCAACTGCTAAAAATAGCAACAAAATGGATTACTTTAAACTAGTTAATATAATGTCTTAAAAAATTGCATCTTTTTGCTTTTTATTTATCTTAATTCGGTGATCTACGAAGAACGATCAAAACAAAGCGGGAACCTGAAAATTAATTTCGACATATTTGATATATTTCAGAATAAAGAAGAAAGAAAAATGGTTTTTTTTTAAAGAAAAAAGGAGGAGAAGAGGAAGAAGAAACTCACCTTCATCGATCTCAACATTCTTCCAAAAGGATTCAATCACAAAAGAAATTAAGCTTAAACTATTTGAATTGAAGATAAAATTATGAATCAATAGGGTGATCGCCTGAGAAGAAAGGAAAGATCGCCGGAGACTGGTCCGACGCAAATATTACGGCGAGAGATGGACACCGATTGGTTTTTTCTTTTCCTAAGAGAAATGTCAGGGAAGGAAGAGTATTTTTTTATTACAAAGAAAAGGAAAAAGAAAAGGAGAAAGAGGAAGATATAATTTCGAGGAAGAGAAGAAGAAACAAAGAGAAAGGAAATTTAAATGGAAAAGAACACGGTTTTTTCAGTTGAGAGGGACTAAGAGTGACGTCGTTTTCGCGCCACCTCTTATATTGTGATTTTTGGACCTTCCAAGATGAAGGCGAGTTTTTTTCTTCTTCTAAAGATGTTTATTTTATTAATAGATCGAAATGAATTGAATTAAAAAATGACGATTTTTTTGTTAAGATTATAAGTTGACACATGATAAAATTACACTTTGATCCATTAAAATGGTAAAGTTTTAATTTAATATAATTATATTTTAACTCCTGTACAAATTTAATGTCAATTTATATTTTCTGAAACTTGTATAACCTCATTTGCATCGATATCACACGTAAAAGATGAACGAATGTGTCCTCAAAGGCATCATCATGTGGCACATGGACATGAGTCCCTTTTCCCTTTGTCAATGATGACAATTGAGCTTTCACATTTTTGGACCACAGCATTCGGCTCGGCTGAAACCATTTTCCTATTTCTTTTCTTTCCTAATAATTCCGGGATGTCTAAAGTACGACAGTCTAATATACGATTAAGAAAAGACGCTACGAGAAATGTTAATATTTTTTTAACATTTTTGGTAAAGTGCTACCTAAAGTATCATTTTTTCTATCGAAAATGTTAATATTGGGCGCTACCTAAAATGTTATTTTTTTTTATCAAAAATTAAGTAGCAAAATTAATATTTTTGATAGAAAAATAATATTTTAGATAACGTTTTACCGAAAATATTAAAAAATATTAATATTTTTAATAACATCTTTCCTTAGTTATATATTAAGTTGTACCCGATAATTCCATGTATTTCCTTTTGGTGAGAAATGGTTCCAAATTCCGAAGCACGAAATTATTAGCAAAGTTTGCATGTGGTGTGGCGATCCTTTCGTATTGTCTCATTAGTTGATACGTAGCTTTCCCTTGCTTTGGCCCTTTTATTTTTCTTGTTCTTATTCCATTTTTCTTTATATATGACATTATGTACAAATAGCATAAATTATAGGATAAATTATATGAGTGACCATTTAATTTAATTATGAGAAATTTGTCATCAAAAAAGTTATGAGAGATTTTAATGTGATTAATAATTTTATAATTTTGCTAATCAGATCATTTAATTATTTAAATGATACCAATTAAGTTAGTCGTAGTTAACGTCTGACAGAGGGACTGATGTAATAACTAATAAAATTAATAATTACACATTTAATTTTTATTATTTACACATTATATTAATTCAATCATAATTTAAAGAAAATTTAATAAATATATTTATTTAATCAGATGATGACATATATTAACTACCACATCAGTTTCTCTATCAAATGTTAATGATAAATAATTTGATTAATAAAACTAACTGCTTATATACAAAAATTATGGCTTACATATCACACATGACAATTATTAGGCATAAAGGAACTTACCAATATAAAATTAACAACAACAAAAAATGATGAAATGATCAAAGTTGTCCGGATTTAACCCACTGACACCGCCTATTGTAGTTTTGTTTGATACAAGGGATTTATTAAATACCATGCCAACCTAAATGTACTTTAATATTCTAACCAATGAAAAACAAATAAGGCTTTTAATCATTTGGAAAAAAAATAAATTAATGTTTTTTTGACTAAGTTAATTAAATAATAATCAATTATAGGATTCTCATTAGGGAAAAGACAAAGAAACTAGAAAATAGAGAATGTCTTGGGTTAGTTTAGCAGCTACAGACCTGTATTTGCTCTTTCCATGGCCAATGTGTTGGGTTAAAATGGAGCATGTACTTGTGAAGACAAGTGCTGCAACAACTCCCTTCTAGTACTTCACCATTCCGGCACCCTGAGCCTTTCCCAGAACCGACTCGATGTCGCCGTGAAACAAATTAAATTGTTTTGCCACGGAGAAACCGGTGTACATGCCATCAACTGCTGCACTTACAATCCCACCAGCATAACCTGCTCCTTCACCAACTGGGTAGAGTCCTCTTAGTGACAAGCTCTCGTAAGTGGCACCGTCGCGAGGGATCTGAATGGGAGAGCTAGTTCTGGTCTGAAAGAAAGAATGAAGAAGTAAACTAGGTTTAAGATTAGCAACCCGACGACGACTAATATCGGAGCTACATTGATCGTTTAAGGACCTATAGTTTTGAGTAAACTTGGGGAGTATTTTTCTGAGAGAAAAATGAGGGAAGAGTAAAGGTAGAAAACTGGTTACCTCAACTCCATGAAGAAGAGCCTCCTTTGAAATAAATCCAGGCAGCTGAAAATTCCATAGGTTGAAGAAAAAGAAAAGCCATTTCAGTTCAGTTTGGATATTAATGAAAAGAACAGAAATTATAAGGTGAATGTTAAAATACCTCTCTATCAAACATTGAAATGGAATAGCGTAAAGCATCTGTCATATAACTCGGGAACAATTCATGGAGACTGGCAGCCTTCACTCCTAGGCGATAGCTCGAAGGTGGCATAGATGTTCCTGATAAAACAAATCATGTCTTAGCTAGATTAAAAGTAAAAGCAAAACCAACAAGGAAAAACATTACCTGATATTTTATTTTCCATAAAATCAGTGACAGTCTGCACAGGCACTGTAAAATCCCCCCCTCCCATGATAGCTGCTCTTCTCTCGAATTCCCTCTGAAGAATGGAAATAATAAAGTGGATTTAAAGAATTTCAATACAAATCTCAATATTTGTATCAAATATTTGTTTTGGAAATTACAGACGCGACAAGAGGGTGAATGGTAACTCATCAAAGTTCATGTGAGTTATAATTACACAAGTCACTATGGTAAGTCCTACAGTGCTTTGGTTCCTTTCGAGTAACAAAGGTAAAATAGAAAGGCTAACCTGAAATTCAACCCCGGCCAGAGGTCCATGGAAATTCAATGCATCAAAATCTTTTGTCGAAACAGTTGCAACAAGGGCAGCATTTGCCCACCTAGATGAACGTCGAGAAAATGACATCCCATTGATGCAGATCTCTGATGGACTTGTACTAGTGAGAACAACCTGCAACTCCAAACATAAGTAATTTCACTGGCGGAACAGATACTACAGAGACGTTTCTAATATTTATGATGGCATCCTAAATCTTCTGCCTCTATGAGAAACATATCTAATCAGATTGTACAGATACTACAACTACAATTTAACTAATTTAACTGGACACTCCCATTAACGCATTCTCAAACTGCATCTTAACACATGTTTAACTAGTGGCGGGTAGGAAGAATTGTTCGATTTTGGATATATGAATACCAAAGTATATGTGCATATGTGTATGTGTGTGAAGCTAACAATATGACATCAATTATGTTCTTTTTAGATAGAGGTATTCATTATTCAAGGCAGAATAATTATACAGGCACATGGTTTTCAGGTGAGATAAGAAACAACAATGTCATTGCTTGTAGAGCATTAAAAATAATAAACTATAAATTGCAAATTAGATAAACAAAAATGAAGAACATACCTGCCCACCAGGGCACATGCAGAAAGAATAACAACTACGACTTGTAAATTCCGACTTGAGTGGTGAATTCTCATCCTTGTCATTTACATAATGTACAACCTTATAATCTGCCACAGGTACCTTCCCACGTCCTCTGCAAATTTCATTGGCCAATGCAGAATACTGTGCACATGAATTGTTAGGATTTTAGAAATATAACAAGAAGTTTACAAGCAAAAGTCTTCACATTGATACATAATTTTTTTTTTATAAGAATACATAATTTTGTTTAATGTTTAATTATACATGCATTCATTCTTTATAAACTTCATCAACAAACTGTGAAATGGTTTGCTGACAATGAAAAACTCTAAAATTCCATTCTATTCTTTCCCAATTCACAAAAAAACCGTATATTAAAGGAAAACTGCCACAACAAATCATTTCAAGATTACAAAAATCTAAGGCACAATGAAGGCATGACAATGTGATGCATGATTGAAGCAGTAATATTGAAAAAAAAGCTTTAAATTTGAACCTCAAAATTTGTACAATAGTACTAAGAACATTTTAAGCCTATGTTGAAGTTTCATATTTCTTTGAAAACAGAGCACACATTAAAAGCTGAAGCACATTATGCAGAAAGAGAATAGAGAAAAATAAAGGAATAAAAGAACCTAGCAGTTCCATACTTCCATTTCATTCACAGTACTGCCCTAGTTCAAGGGTACAATACTAATCTTCATCATTTTCTAAGTTCAGAAATGTTAAGACATGATTTAAATACCTAAACTTGGGATAGCATCTAACCGGAAGATAGATTATTTTACAACCAAGCTGGAATAACTATGGACCAAAAACATTTATGTTAAACTCCATGACTACATTTACAAGATGATTTGCAGCAAGTACAATATTGACAAGAATTTATTGTTGTTCAACAGTAAGATTCCGACACAAGCTTCTTGGCTTTGGAAATCGGTGGTGAAAAATCATTTTAAAGAAGATTCTTTTGGGTCCAAGTTTAGCAGCTTGTTTAATGTACATGTTGGAAATGGCAAGTTCATTCGGTTTTGGCAAGACATCCGGGCGTTAGAATCTTCTCTCAAAGCTGCATTCCCTAGACTTTTTTTCCTTTCCACAAATCAGAATGGCAAGTTAATAGAATTTGACGAATTTCGAAATGAAAGTTGGGTTTGGAATATACAGATGAGAAGAAATTTAAGCCATTGGGAATTGGATTGGTGGATAGAATTGTCGACAATCATTAATAAAACTAGTCTTTCGGAAGTTTTGAGGGATGGTTTGATTTGGAAAGGAAATGGGGAGGGTATTTATACTGTCAGCTCTTGTGTGAAGCAGTGTTCTTTTAGTTCGGAAGCAGATCCATTTTGGAAGAGTATCCTTTGGAGGGGGCTGGTGCCTCCTAGGGTGGAGACCTTGTTGTGGCAGGTTGTTCATCAAAAATTGGCTGTAAA